CGTGTAGATGTGTACACGCTCGAAAAGACACGAAGTCACGATAAAAAGGAGACCTTTTCTTGCCTTCTCTCTCTCTCTCTCTCTCTTTCCGGAGGTTGCAAGAAGAGCCGGGGATTCGGTTGCGAGACTGTGTTCCTATTAAAACCTAGTTAGCCAGTCATTACGGAGTGCGCATCGCGTAGAACGCATAGGTTCGGTCGCGAGACGATCCAACGAGAAAGGATGACCGACGCGGGAAAGGTAAAATCGTACACGAAGACGCGAAGAGAACGTTTGCACAGGAAAGAAAAATCTCGCGTTGTTTCGTTTCGTACACACACGTGCGCCGATACGAGTTTGACTTTTATAATTCGCGATGGGATGCCGCGAGTCATTTGCAAATAATGGAATTTTCATTGGAAATATATATATTTGGAGGCGCATCGATCAACTTCATCGGGAGGATTATGAAAGAAGAAGCGGGAACACGAAGAACGTGTAAAAACCGATACACGAAGGGTGTATCGATTTCGTAACGAGATGGCAATCGTTTACATAAAGGGAGCGTTCGTCGAAAATAATATTACGTCAGCTGGCGAGAATCTAGACTCTCTCGGAACGGCCGGGGCCAAAGGTCCCCAAGCGGTGGATGTTTCGAAATATTTTTACAATTCGATTTTTCTCCTCCCCTTCTCTTTTTAATCGTACATTATTATTAGTATGCGTGTCCGCTACACGCGGCGGTATCTCGCGCGCGAGATCGGGACGATTCAGAGGAGAAGTTCAGCCTCTCGTTTGACGTTTCACTTCGGAGGAATCTGATCCATCTTTTACTTAGACCGTTTGCATGTCCGTGATAGTTGCGAGCGTGGAATGTAATGTGGTAATCGGTTAACGCGTGAAAAGGCGTCTTGACGAACTGGACGAGATGATCGACAGCGAACGAGGATCAAGGAAAGTAATTAGAGGATCCGACCCGAGGAGAGAAACTGACGTGTTGTTTCGCGCTCCGATGCCGCTGTGTTTACGATCCTCGCGTTTTCGTCGTAAGAGAAGACTCCAAAGGCTTGAGATAATAGCGTCGATCGTCCTCGCGTGGAAAGACGTGCATGTCGAAGGAGCATCACGTAGCTGTACATTGAATGGAAAAATACTGGGATCGTAAGAACAATCGATTCTTGGTTAACAGAGGAAAGCAACACACAAGTGACACAATAACGTTGCGCCATCTCTCAAGAATCGATTGAGTTTGTTTTTCCATCTATCCGTTGAGCCAGCCATTTTTAACGACAATGTCTCACCATTGTTCAAACCATTTGACGATCTTCAATAAATAATAATAACAACATATAGAGTCACCCTGGTCCCCTAATCATCGAAATCGTTCGCCAAATTAGAAATCTAATTAAACAGAGCGTTAAACAGAGATCAGTTCGATCGAGCGATCGAAGAATTAACAATTATTAATCAACGAAGTGGTCGGAGTTCTCCTCTGACGATCATTCGCCATGCCGGAAGATGAAAGTTCATCTGCGTGGCGCGTATCAAAAATGATTTTCCCGTTTCAGCGAGTCGGCATAACTGGGTGAGACGGCGGCTGATGGCTTCTTGTGGGAACGGCCAGCTAAAGCGCATACTCCGAGGCCCGAGGTAAAAAAGGTTAAACGTCCAACAGATGACGCGGCTGTGTCACCTCGGTTCTAATCCCTGCGCTCTCGCCGGTGCGGTACACTGCAACGGAACTAAATAATGTCTCCTCGTGTCTCCTCGATGGGTTCTCTCCGTCCCTCCACCTTCTTCGTTATCCTTTCCGTTGTTCGCGCCACGGTATTTAACTACGTGTATCCTTTTTCGGATGGAATTACACCGTCTGCAAGACGTCGTTGCAGAATCGATGAATAGTCCACGAGATCGGATATTGCACGACGTGCTAATTGGAATAGAATTAATTGCGGCCACAAATGACAAAGTAGCAAAGGATCTGAATTACAATGTAACCATTTTAACCATTCTGAAGCTGCATGCGTGTCGATTAAAATTTCTTTCATTTATGTTCTTGAGTGGTATGAGCCAGCAACTTCAAAAGTTACAATCCAAGATGCACGATAAAAGAATGATGAAAATTATTTGCAAGAATAACTCCGCATTCGCATACGGAACACCCGGCCGTTGCAATCATTGCCCGACGTTGTCAGAATCTCCTGCCAGACGTCTCTCGATCGCCATGATATTCCGACCTCTCTTGGCTCTTAACCGCTTAATCGCACACCCGCATCCTGGCACGGGGACGTCTCATTAAGTAACAGCGCGAAGGTAATGCCGATGACGAATGGCACTCGAGGAAGAAATGAAAGTAGCGTGCCAACCGGGGATATTTTTCCCCGCGTTACACGGCTGATGATTCGCCTTTACGCGCCGTGGCGCGCACGCACGCTTCACGCCACTTCTTTTCTTTTTTTTTTTTTCTTTTCTTCTTTTTTCGAGCGCCAAAGGGTGCGACCGGCGAAAGGTGCTGCGCTGGGAAATGTGGGCCTCGTCGGAACAACGGCGCCTTTATTCCCCTCTATCCTTCTTGTCCGAGAGTCGAACAAGGTGGGATCGGGAGGCACGAAGCCTCTGTAATTGCCCGCAATTTTTATCGAGTGATTGTTGGCTGGAAGGGTTGAAGATGACGTGGATAACGGAGGTGACGTGGATGATCGTTGAGGCCAGGGAATTGTATGAAAATTAAGATTATCTCGCGTTCGGTGAGACGAAAGAACATCTGACATTAACGCTAGAACTACCAAGGACTACCAAAGTATAAAAATCAAGTCGAAGAAATTAGAATGCAATGACTAGGGGAAAGTTTATAATAAGGAACACGGTAATGAACACGAATTTCTACTCGTGTATTTTACAAAAATCACTCGAATCTCTAGAAAAAGTACAACATTGTAAGTCCGCAAAGTCACGCTAAAAAATTATAAATTGGTCATTTTGACCGTTTTGGTAGTTCTAGCGTTACAATTATTTGAATCATTAGCAGTCCCTTTTCCCGTACGTTCAATTAAAGATTATATCGTCTGATCAAAGACGAAGAGTTACGAAGCTAAATTGATTTTCCAATTGTTACACCAGGCGATTGTAAATCTATTAGAAATATAGGAATAGCATCTTTTCAATTATAGAAAGACTATAGCTCGCGTCTTGATCCTTCATTGCAGTTCAGATTCTCCTCGCTAACTTCAGAAAAAGAGAACGACTCGAAGCTGAGTTACGCAAATCACATTACATCTCCGCTCGCGACAACACGAACGACACTGGCGCGGTCAGTCGAGGAAAGAGAGGCCGCGAAAAAAGAAAAGAAAAAAAAAAAGAAAAAGAGAGAAACGAAAAGTGCAAAAACTCACCACGTCGGTGTTGGCCGCTGCGGTGGCGATCGTCGATGTGGGCGTCCACCACCCCGCGGTGGCGGATGTCGTACTTGTAATGATACCAACACCCGTTGCTACAGGGATGGATCCGCTCCCAGCCAATCCTGCCGAGCTCGACAAATCGCCCACGTCCATTCGATGTTTCTTTAATCTCTCGATGCAAACCGTTCGCGCCGGTCCCTCGAGCCGTCTGTTCCGTGTTCGATGTCGCGACCCAACATTTTCGTGCGTGTCTTACAAGCGCCGGGCGCTGTCGAAAATTTCCTGGGCCACCGTGGATTCTCACGATATCCTGCTCGGCCGGTGCAGCCGGGATCACCGAAGGCAGGACCTCAGCTACGTTTCCTCCAGCTTCGTGGATACCGCGTCGTGAACTGGAACGAACCACCAGCCGGCAATTCGACTCGTTAATTCAAATCGATCAAGACAGATGTTTTTTTTTTGTTTTGTTTCTTTTTCATCTCGACCTTGAATCCCTGGTGTGTTATGAGTCGTTTGTGAAATTGTGTGGTCTCAATTCGTGCGAAGAATTTGAGCTGGGAACTGTGACTTTTGTAACATTCTCTAGTCATCTGGCTGAATTTCACAATCAAGCGTCGATCAACGTAATTTAAACGCGACTATTTTCTGTTCCTGTGGAATTGCGCGCGAGTTACGCTGTTTTATTTCTGTATTTCCCACTGATTGCGAGTAGGAAGCCTGTACCAAGAGAGTACTGCTCGCAGGAAGCTGAGACTTTCTCGCCAAAAGTAATTGGAAGAGCAAAGAGAGTTTGGCGCGGAAAACGTATAATCGGAAACGTGATAATTAACTTCTCAACGGTTACTTAATACACATACTTTTGACCGACGCGCGTGAATTTTTACCGTTATTTCCGAATTGACCGACAATATCATACCAGTTTTTACAGTTTGGAAATTATCGAAGAAGAAATATTGCGATTCGCAACATTCGAGTAGCCTGGGAAAATAAAGAAGGGAGCAACATCTCGAGAGAAGAATCTCGACAACCGTGGAAAATATTTACAAAAATTAGGGGATATTTCAAAGTGAATGTGAAGCGATAAATTTGATTTCTCTTTATATAAACAAGAACATCAGAAAAGCAAGCAACAAAATCGAACGACTTCTTTTGAAAAAATCAAATGCTTCTTTTTCTTATCGCTTTCATATTCATATTCATCAATATCCCCTAATTTTCCCCGCGGCGCAAGTCAACGATCACCCGGAAAGAGACTGTTGAACTCGGTGAAATTCCCCGAAAGTTCGTCGTTCCTCCGAAAACGAAAGGCGGAGGAGGCGTGCTTCCGGCGAAACGAAAACCCATCCGTGGCTGCCATTTCTTGCGCGAGCCTCGTCGAGATAACATGTCGTGTTTACAGCGGTGTAACGCCATTACCATGTTAACGGAGCCCGCCTCGCGAGGGACGCATAAATACGAGCGCTAATTACGGCGCCGACCACGTATTAATTTCACCCGTGTCCGCCTGGTGAACCACGACGCGTGTAACCGTGGCCCCCGCGCTTTCGATCGACGTGATTCCTTTCTCGATCGGTTCCAAACTCAAGAAAAAAAAAAAAAAACAACCCTTCGCTCGGGAATTTTTTCAAAGGAATAACGATAGAATTTGGAAATTTGACGGTTGTTCCATTTTGTTGGAGTTTCTACACAGAGTGAAATTTAGACTTTGGAACGATTTCAGGTTTGTTCCAATCTTGCTGTTGGTTTCAATCGACTCAATAAGATTTTTGAAAATGTGAGTTCAAGCAGATTGAAGATTATAAGATTACAATTGGAAGAGGCTGTTTTGATAGATAACTTGTGATAAATGTTCGTTTTACAATAAATATACTAACGGTTAGGTAAAATATATATCCAAGATGTCTGAAAATTTCCTGAAGCAAGGGATCATCGGAGAGACATTCCCCATTGATGAAAAATCCACAGGCGGAAGTGGCCACCGACTTTTGTGAAAGATTCAACAATCAAGAACTGGTGGTTCTTGTCTTCTCGTACGCACAGTCTTTTAATCTGTGGTTTCAATTAACGACAAGATTTTTGAAAACGTTGAGAGACATTTCTGAAAATGTGAGTTCAACGTGAATTTTCAAGCATCGAAAATTACAAAGTAAATTACAACAGAACAAACCGCTGGAGGATTGATTCTTAGCTATCGGTGATCGACGCGACTCGATCGAGGAACTGTATACGAAGGAAATTCAAATGATCCATGGACCGGGAAGAGACCGTTCTATTCTCTCTCTCTCTTTTTAATTTTCTATCAATCTCAACGCAGAAAACAATCTCTGCAAGATATCGAACCAATCAAACTAAAGTAACGGGCAAACACGACGGGGGGATCGCGGCGCAGTGATGCCGGCAAGTTTTATCGCGAGACGTCTTCCTTAAATAATGACAAATTAATTAAGGTGGCCGGTATCGCGGCGCGGAAGACCGGTTTACATCGCGCGTATCGTCGCCTCTGCTCGACTCCTATAAATCCAACGTTTCTACGGGGCGTAGAAACTTAAACCCGTTCCCGTTCACCGCTGGGAAATGTAACACGACGAAATGAATTTCCACGATCGTGAAACACGCCTCGCCGGAGAGGAAATTGTAATATTATATCAATTTAACGGCGAGACTCGGCCGATCGGTAGGCGTTCAACAGCTGTTGGCAAATGACTCGCAATCGGCCCGATCTCTTCCGCGCTATAATTGATCCGGTCGTTAAATTGTTACGCGAAACTGACGATTCCTCGCTGCACGAAGTTCATTATCAGCGGTGGATTTGCTTGTCCGATTTGCAGAGCCATTCTTTTCTTCTTTTTTTTTTTTTCCTTTTTTTAACATCGTTGCCGATTGACATTGAAACCTGAGGCACAATTGAACACGTGTGGACTGGACTGTGAAGAATGACCGTGAAATTCGTAAGGCAAAGAGGAAAGCGAAAAAAGAGAAGAGTCTGTAAAATTTCCAGGGAGAACCACGAATCTGAAATTTGAGTAATTTTCATAATTGTCAGTGTCGACAGAGTTACAAGTAATCAAACTGGTTTGAAAGTTGAATTACTTGAATTCTACAGTACCTCGAATCTTTTTTCGTTTTATTTAATTAAGATTAATACACCGGTCGCTGTTACGTTACCGAGCCACTATCACTTTCTTACGCTGAAAAACAATCTGTCATACAATGTAAAGTTCAAACGTATGATGTTCTTAAATGTCTGTATAATCAGAAAAATCTCACCCATGGTATAACTTTATAACGAGCCGACTGAATCGTTCGGTTAATTAATATCCGTACGACTTTAATACGTTGCTGAACAAACGTGAAAATCCGCGCGTCTAATCCGCGCGTGTGCGAGCTTGTAGCTGAAATTAACGAAACAGGCATCCACAACTGAGAACCCGTTCTCGCTGAATTCAACGCGCAGCGTTTGAATCATAAAAGCAATGGGAACAAGAAGCAAGCGAAAGAGAGAGAGAAAGAGAGAACAGTCGAGAGTGCAAGCGGCTGTTGCACGATTTGTTAACGAATATTTTTTTTTTTTTTTTTTT